ATGCCCAGTTGGGCGATGTACATAATAAACCGAGGATCCACAATGTGATAAAAAGGACTGAATGGACAATGCAGTGCAAGTGAAATCTCAACAAGCAGTGTACATTCTGATACATGCAAAAATGGTGCTTTAAAGCGCAGTGGAATAGTTAGATACAAGTCCTGACCTGACCGGGACTGACCTCTATCACGTAGTGCAAGACAGCGCAGCAGAATGCTAGAATACCAATGACTAGCCCAATCAATGTTGCAACGCAGACCAAATACATCATCCTCATCACAAAGTGTGAAGGGGCCCGGCGCTACACACAGGAAGAATGCGCCAGGTCCAAATCATGCACAGACGAAGACAAGGGGGACAGACGAAGAAGAGGGGGAGAGATGGGAATGTCGTCAACAGCAAGTCTTTGTTACAAGTCCCAAATAATCCCTCGTCAAAATGTCTGAAACCCAATATCGAGTCTGGATCCAAATGTCACCAAGCCCGCTCTCTCATAGTTTGCTGATGCAGTGAAGTCAGGTAGCGAGAGGGTGAGACGGAGATGGTGGACTGAGAAGAGGAAGAAGAAGAACTCTCTCTCTCTCTCATGTGCCAGGTTCTAACCTGCGAAGATGGCGCTGTGCTGCAGGTACCTCGAAGGCGAAGCTGGAGCTATGGCGCTGCGGGTAAGTATCCCTGGCCTCCACCCAATCTCTCTCTCTCTCTAGTACTACTGTAGCTCCTAAGAGCGCCCAGCGCTGAAGACTACTGCTAACATTACTAGCGCCCAGCGCTGAAGAATACTGCTATAGTGCTGGCCAGTCCAGGAGGCTGCTCTTGCCAATGCCAAAACGTGCCAGACCCTGGAGTTGAAGCTCAAACAAAGGTTGTCTTGAAAATAGGCCAAAAATGGCCTGAGCTAAGACCCTGGTCTGGTGCCTACGTTTCAGGGCAGGTTGATCTTATGAGGGCCTGAAAATGGCCCTCAGTTTCAGGCTGAAAAGACTCAGGCCCGGAAAGGCCCTGATTTAGGATGAAACGACACACGGCCTGTAGGCCCTTGTTTTCAGGCTTTCAGGCTGAAAACAACACAGGGCCTGTAGGCCCTTGTTTTCAGGCTTTCAGGCTGAAAACAACACGGGCCTGAAAATGGCCCGYGCAGCCTGTTGCAGGCGCAGCATGTAACACACACACACACACACACACACACACACACACACAGAGAGAGAGAGAGAGAGAGAGAGGTGAATATGGGTGTGGATGCTGGCCACAGACAGCCACTTGGACATCTCTGCTTATTCTTCCCCTTGGATCGTTCTCACCAGAGGACATCGCCGTACTCACAAGATGGGTTTGTTTCACTCTGCCCTACTCCTTAGGGCCTTCTCACCTTCGGACTCGAATTTCAGTAAGCACTTATGTTGTTGGTTACCTTGCACACATGATCACGTGAAGCGAGGAATGCAACCCATGCCGCAGCGTAAGAACAAGGCGAGGAGAGAGAGAGAGAGAGAGAGAGAGAGAGAGAGAGAGAGAGAGAGAGAGAGAGAGAGGTGAATCTGGGTGTGGATGCTGGCCACACACATCCACTTGGACATCTCTGCTTTTTCTTCCCCTTGGATCGTTCTCACCACAGGGCATTGTTGTACTTGCAAGATGGGTTTGTTTCACTCTGCGCTACTCCTTAGGGCCTTCTCACATTTGGATTCAGATTTTCAGTATGCACTTGTATTGTTGGTTACCACCTTCTTAGGGCATACTCACACTGGGACCCTAAATCCGCAAATGACCCAAATTTGGTTGTTGGCCCTTGCGGGCTACGATCACAGAGGCTTCCCAAATTCGAAAAAGCATTATTCCCATATGCAATTGTCAACAGCCTGTGGAAATTGGCAGCACCTCAGAAGGTGATTGCAAACTCTCTTTCTTTTTCACAAAGTTTCTTCAAAATCAATGTGAAATGTTTGGACGATGATATGGTGTTGTCATTGGCTGGTTTGAAAACGAGCATTTTGCGCAAATGGGCGCTGCATCTTCTCGTCACACATGCATGGATCTGGTTTTGTCACCTGCTCGCTCTGGCTATCCTTTTTTTTTTTTTCAAAAACAGAACCTCTTGGTTCTGGCTCCTACCATTCTGGGGAGCGACGATCCGGTTCCTATTCCCCCGGCAAGTCAAATGTGGAATACATGGAAGACCCACGCACACTCCTCCCCATCATGGCTGGGAGGCCCGAGTGGACGGCATTGATTACTTCCTTGACGAAGGATGTACCACCTGTTACCCCTGCCTAAGTTAGCCTGTGTTATTTAAACTGCTTTGTTGTTGCCAATCTGTCCGACCCTAGTCCTGCTCCTCTCAGTTGTGATGCTGTCGGGTTGGTGTGATACACTAGAGCGGTCTGGAGCGCCTATGAGCCTCTTGAAACCTTTGACACCCTGAAGCCTACTTGCCTTGTTTCTCTTTAAACCCTAAACCCTAAACCCTAAACCCTCAGCTATGATTCTGTCGTGATTTACCCAATCCTAGTTCCTAAAGAAGTAAAGGATGTGCTTGCTCTTAAGCCCTATGGCCTAAACCCTAAGAACTCGTCCTCTCTCTGTTTGGGATGTGTACCCTTCCTTTCTCTCGGAAGACTGTTTTTACTGCTACTTTCCTCTGGGCAACCCCCTTTTTTCAGTATTGCTATTTGCCTTCTTCTTGTCTTAAAGCCTGAACCCTAGCACTTATGCTACTGTAACCTTACTTAAACCCTTACACTTATTGGTAAGGTAGATCTGTTAGTATTGCTGTTAGCCCTCCTCTTTGCTTAACCTTAGAACCTCTTGTTGTTGATTCGTGTGTGTGAAGCTGATGCAGTGTATTGTGTCTTAAGGGTTCTTCTGCTAATGCTAAGTAAGGAGTCTTGTGAGTGCATTGGGTTGTAACGATGGGTGAATTGGGCTGTTCCTGTAATCTCCGACCTGTCCTTTGCACGTAGTGTGGTTTGGTTTGGTGTTTTCGGCTTTGGGAGAGGATTTGTCTAATTGCCTGTTTCTGACCCTAGGCTGAGCACATGTGGACATCGAAGGAGTCGAGTAAGCTGTTGACTGACCCTTCTTCTGGTTGAATTTCTTGTGGGACATTTTCCCAGAGTGTGAAGACTAAGCCATGACCTTTGATGAGATCTATCTTGCCTAAGAAGTTTTCCTCAATTTTTGTTTGTGTTCTTTGGCTTCGAGTTCGTCGGCTCTCCTTCTCCTTCTCAATTT